AGGAGCTACTCAGATTCTAAGCATTTCTCACCACCTCCCTGCTGCCCCCCTTGGAGAACCACCATCACCTCTCATTTGAATTTTTAAGTATTTCGCTGAAATTTTTTTATTAATGTGAAATTCATATGACATAAAATTATTTATTTACATATTTATTTATTGTCTTCTTGTGAGACAGGGTCTCACAGCACCATTGAGGCTGGCCTTGAGTTCACTTGGTAGCCCTGGCTGATCTGGAGCTCCCAGTGAACCTCCTGCCTCAGCCTCCCGAGTGCTGGAGTTACAGGTGTGCACCACCAGCCCAGCCTCACCTGTCAGCTTTTAATACACTCGCAGTGTCGTTTAGTCACCTCTGACTGGTTCCAGAGTTTTCCTCCACTAATGAGACCCCATTTCCGCTAAGCAGTGGATCCCTTTACTCTGCTTTATTTTCTTTGCAGCATTTATCTCCTCCAGCATATTTATTTGCATGTGTTTGGCTGCCTTTATCTAGGGAATAGGCTTCCTGTACTTTGTTCACTAAGTATCTATCTCTAGAAAGTATCTATCTTTTCTATCACGCAGAAAAGATACCTGGAACATAACAGCTGCTCAATAAATGCTTGAAGAACTAATGAACTGGATTCATTTCCAGGGGAGAATGAAGCTCACCAAAGCGTCATGGCCTGTGGCAAGTCATAGAGCTTGTAAGAGGAAGACTCAGGACCCTAACACACATTTCTCTGACAGCAAAACCCAAGATACTAACAGGGTTGTCTTGAGAACTTTCTAACCTGGACTCATAATAACCTGGCATGTTGTTATCATCATCATCATTATTATTATCTTTATCAAGATCTAACTTACAAGGGCTGGCGAGATAGCTCAGCAGGCTAAGTGCCTGCTTAGGCAAGCGCAGGGACTGGGGTTCAATTCCTGGCACCACATGCAGCACTGGGCCCACCCACGGGTGTGCAGAGTGAGCCAGTGAGTCTGGGGGTGGTAGCATAGGCCTGTAATCCTAGTGCTTGGGAGGCTGAAAACAGGAGGCTCACTACAAGTCTGATCTACATAGTGAGACCCTGTACCACACACATAAAATTTCCTCCGGCATGAAACGGACGCTCAGCAAATCCAGGATGACTGGCATTCAGGGCACCTTCAAAGTGAAGCTCACCCAAGTTTCAGGGTCTCAGAAGGACCTTGGTCATATGTTCCTACAGTTGGACATTTTGTAAAATTTGTAGAGGAAAGGTGCAATTGGCTAAGACCACCTGTAGTACTTCTTTGTTACAAATCCCATTGCCATGGGTGATGTAAGAGTGCCTCAAGCATTTACAGGATCTTGATGGGGTTTGGAAAGATATTTTTAATGTGGTTCACAGACACTGCTGGGTATGGAAATCCTTTAATGCTTTTTTTTTTGGCTCTTTTTTTTTTTAAATTTGTGTGTGTGTGTGTGTGTGTGTGTGTGTGTGTGTGGCCAGCTCAGCCCACCAGGGGGCGGGGCTGGCTGGCATGTGGTGCTGGGGGATTGAACCGCGGTCCCTGTGCTTTGCTAAGCTTGTTCTAAGTAGGTGCTTCAGACCACTGAGCCATCTCACCAGTCCTTTAATGCTTTTTTGTTGTTGTTGTTTTGGTACCAGGGATCAAACTCAGGACCTTGACCCTGCCAGGCAGGCACTTATGCCACTGAGCTGTCTTCCCAGCCCAGGTATTCTTAAACTATCTAACTAGTTTTCGTGGTGCAGGAATGGCTTCCAGAAATGATCCAATAACTAACTAGGTGTGAAGCCCCAGGCTAGTGCACCATCACTATGTCCTTTGGTGGCCACTCTGGAAGCACCTGTGTGAGAGACGTGAGTCAAGAATTGAGAAAATTGAGGGCTGGCCAGAGAGCTCAGCAGACTAAAGCGCCTGCTTAGTCAGAGCACAGCGGCTGGGGTTCGATCCCCTGCGTGCTGTGTCGGTCCCGCCCCCAGGGCCCGCTGAGATGGCGATTGAGACTGGGCGTGGTGGTGCATGCCTGTAATCCCAGCGCATGGGAGGTTGAAAACAAGAGGCTCACTACAGTCCAATCCGTGTAGCAAGACCCTGTAGACCCCGCACTAAATACATAATAAATAAATAATAATTGAGGGGGCTGGTGAGATGGCTCAGTGGTCTAGAGCGCCTACTTAGAACAAGCTTAGTATATCACAGAGACCGCGGTTCAATCCCCCAGCACCACAGGTCAGCCAGCCCCGCCCCCTGGTGGGCTGGGCTGGCCACACACACACACACACACACACACACACATAAATTAAAAAAAAATAAAGCTTCATATTTAAAAAAAAAATTCACATAACATCATCAATTTTGGAAGCTAAAACTTTTTTTTTTTTTTGTGGCAGGACCGGGAATTGAACTCAGATCCTTGCGTTTGCCAGTCAAGCGCTTATCCTACTGAGCCACCTCCCCGACCCCCCTAAAACTTTTTTATAAAGAATTTAAGTGGGTAAGAGGGGCTGGGGACCTAGTTCAGAGGCACAGCACCTGCCTGGAAAGTGCGAGGTCTTGAGTTTGTTCCATAGCACAATTTAAAAAAAGAAAAGAAAAGAAAAAGCCATTGGCCAAGCTGCTTTCTTTTCTCTTCGTGGCTATATTATGAAATATGTATGAAGCAAAAAGTAGGCACATCATGCACATTAAAAATATCACATTATCTTCCGTGTTTTTTTTTTTTTTGCAGAACCGGGGATTGAATTTACGCCCTTGTGCTTGCCAGGGAAGCGTTTATTCTATTGAGCCATCTCCCCAGCCCCACTTCCGTGGTTTTTATAAAACCACTTTTAAAAAGTCTTAGCTTTTAAAAATATGTATATAGAAAAGAAAAAAGATATGCATGAATTTTATTAGTTTATATTTCGTCCCATAATCCCTGGTACAGGGGATCGAACCCATGGCCTTCACACTGAGTTGTACCCCTAACACCTTTTTATTCTGAGACAAAGTCGCTAAATTGCCCAGTGAGCTCAAACCTGCGATCTTTCTTCTTTAACCTTCCTGAACGCTGGGATTACAGGCGTATGTCACCACGCTCAGCTAATTCATATCCCGAGGAAAGTTTCACGCTCAGAAAATTTTGTGTTCGAGCTTTTATACTTTTTAAAGAGGGCCCGCCCCCTTAATTCCTTAAGGTGGATCCGCTGGGTGGCTGTAAAATCCGTGTGATCCAGGCTACAGTCTGTGTGTCTCGATGTACCGGCCCCTTGGCTAAAAGAAAGTTATAATAATGTCCATTTTCCCAGGCTGCTGTGAGCTTGAAATAAGGGAAAGTTATTAAATGGTTGGTGCAGAAGTGAACCGTGCCAAGCTATGAGAAATCGCAACCAGTCTTTGGGGTTGAGTCCTGGCCAAGCCCTCCTACGGCTCGCGTTCACTTCCTACCAATACACCTCCTGCACCTGGGGGCGGAGTCTAGAGTCTGTTTCCGGGATCCTCTATCCACCCTTCTCTAGGGAGCAACTCTTTTGTATGACTGGCGGCATTTTTAGCCAGTATTATTGGACTCGAGACAGACGCTAGGGTGTCTCCCAAAGCCTTTTAGGAACGCCTCTTCCAAGTTGGCCAATTGTAATCTTTGGAGGGCGGGTTCTTCTCTGGGGCGGGACAGAGTGACAGGCTTGTTTTTCGACTAATGAAAACTAGGCTGCGGGCAAGCCAAACCAATCAGAAGTGGGTAGGGGCCTGGGGCGGGGCCGGAGCGCCGGCAGTTGAACGGCTCGCGAGGAAGGGTATCCGTGGAGAAGGTGAGAGGCTGCGAGAGCGCCGGGTGCTCCTGGTGCACGGGCTGCGGCGACGCTCTTGGGGGGAGGGGTCTCTCGGGGGCGAGTGGGCTGCGACGGGCGGAGGACTCGCAGGGTGGGAATTAGGACGGGGCGCCCTTTTAACGTGGTCGGGAGCTGTGAGACAAGAGGCTAGAGTGTGACGGGGGGGGGTGTCGGAGCTCGAAGCAAAGACTTTAATGGGCGAAGTCGTTAAGGCAGAAGACCACAGATGATGGAACATAAAGGTGCTGATGTAACACAGCGTTGCGACTTAATGGGAGGTTTTTATGGGTGTTCATTATTAGGAGGACTGGGAGGGCAGAGGTTCCTTTTTCTGATCTAAACTGACTTGTATGATGCAAAAACCAGTATTTGGAGAGGCAGGAAGGGAGCCAGTCCTTCCGGGATGAGGATTTGCTTTGATGAGATATGAAGGGATGTCCTACACGTAACGATTACTATGTGCAGGCCCCTAGCAAGTGTTTTAGATTAGTAATAATAACTGTTATTGTATGCGGTGCTAGGTGTGGAACCCCGGGGTTCTTTCACTAAGCTGGACTCCCAGACCCTGAATTAATTCTTAACTTTCCTAACTCTGCTGATGGTTGAGTGTGGGCCCTGGCTTCTGGTGGCCCCAGTTTGAATCCTAGCCCTGTGCTGGCCCTACTGAGCTAGTACTGAGCGTCACACTGGCTTTGGGGGCAGTTGTGGACCCCTCTGTGCCTTCCTCGCCTCAGCGGTAGAATGACCTCACCTTTTTCTCTGGACTCTATCTAGCAGCCTCAACGTTTTTGCTTAATGGTGGCTCCCCGGGTGTCTGTTTTCAGCCTAGTTCTCTGTCCTGAACTGCAGGGCAGTATTTCAATGGTCCACATTTGCTAGCTCAGGCTGCCTTAAGGGCAGATCTGGTGTGGCTTGTGGAGCTGGGGATTGAACCAACCACCGTCCCCTGTGCTAGCATGAGTTTACTGAAGCAGGCGCTTTAAACAACTGAGCTAACTCGCAAGCCCCAACACTTGTGTATTTTGAAGTCCAGTTGACATCCAGAATTTAAATAAACTTGTCTCATCCTTTCAGTTTCCAAACGCAGCAGATGGCAGGTTCTTCCTTCCAGGGACTCAGGACAAATACCTTGGAGTTGTGCGCAACTCCTGCCTTTTCTCTGTTGGTTTTTTTTTTTTTTTTTTGGCAGAACAGGGGATTGAACTCAGGCCCTTGCGTTTGCCAGGCAAGCGCTTATTCTACCGAGCTATCTCTCCGGCCCCTTCTCTCAGTTCTGTGTACGGTCTGTCAGCAGATCTGTTAACTTTGTCCCCAAAACATATGGAGTCAGGTGCAGTGGTACACATCTGTAATTCCAGCTCCCCGGGAGGTTGAGGCACTAAGATGGAAAGTTTGAGGCCAGCCTGGGCAGTTTAGTGAGGCTCTGTCTGGCGTTGGGGGAAGGGCTGGGCCAGAAGGGCAGAGCCTTTCAGTCTCCAGTACTGCAAACAAACACACGCACAGATCCAGGATCCAGCCAGCTCTCAGCGTCGCTTGTGCTGCCACTCGGGGTCAGGCTATCACCCCTTTTTACCTAATCTTTTGGAGTGCTCTTGACCCCCTGTTAGATCGTACTGCTGCTGTGTTCCCCCTCCTGGCTCTCACTCAGCCAGAGCCCCCACTGTGCCCCCAACTGATCCAGCTTCCTCCTTTCTCCCCACAGCTCTCATCCCCTTCTACATTCCCCCGGCTCACACTGCCTCAGCCACCTTGGCTCCCTTGCTGTCCTGTGTTGTCACCACAGGACCTTTGCACTTGTCTGCACGGCTTCTCCCTCTTTTCCTTTAGGTCTCTGTTGGGATGTTAACTTCACAGACAGGCTCTTGCTAAGCACCCCAGCTAGTGTAGGGCCTGGCCCTGCCTGGCTCGTCAGCGGGCTTAATTTTCCTCCTAACACTACTACCTGAAATAGATTATTGTTATGTCTACTGGGCTTCTCAGACCTGCCTGCCCCACTGGCTGCATGTGGCACTGGAAGAGCACGTAGGTGCACAAAGCATCCTCTGCATGTGGTGGTGGAGTGCCCTACAGCACTGTGCTGCAGCGGGCTTGAAAGCTCTGAAAGGTGTGCTGTCACTGCCCCCGGTGGCTCCCAGGGTGTCTGTTTTCAGCCTAGATCTCTGTCCTGGATTGCAGGACAGCACCCCTCCTTAAGTCTCCCTGTGGGATGCGCAGGGTTGCTGAGCTGGGAGGGTCTTGGCAGGACAGTCACCTGGACAGATCATGGTGCCTAAGGGAAGAGGGCCTCAAATTTAGCGCCAGAAGGAGCTTGTAGGAAATGCACATTCCTGCCCTCTTTCCCCCCACTTGAGCTTCTGTAGGTTGGAGGACCAGTGCCTGTGGTCAGGCTGATTGATGTTCCCGTGCTCTGAGAAATAGGCTGGTTCAGAGCTTGGGCTGGAGGGCAGTGACTTGACTGTCCTCCTCTGTGGTAGAGGCTCTCCTGAGCAGTGTTGGGGGTGCTGGAGACCCAGCCTGGGAGTGGGGCTTCCAGCAGGAGGCGGGTGGAGCTTTGGCCTGTAAGGTGACCAGGAAGGAGCTGAGGGAGAAGACCTTGGCTGTCTCCTCAGTGCCCGTGACCCTAATCCGTGGCACCTCCCATTACATTGTTAGTCATTGTGTAAGGGCAGGCGACTGGAAGTACAAGAATGGTAAGAACAGCTCTGCCCTCTCAGTTCCTGGTCTTTGGGCTAGGAATGGGGTCATGGGGTGGTAGCCGGAATACCAGGCTGGACTGGACTATGTGGTGGTGGGTCAGTGCAGGCTAAGGGGGCTCTAGGGTGGTGATTTGGCCATGTCTGCGTGGGAGGTGGTGGTGTGGATTTGTCTTTGAGGAGTCGGGCAAGGAGGGGAGATTGGCCTTGGGGTGGGAGGTGTGAAGTCTGTGAGCATCCTGGGAGGAGGTTTAGAAGGAACCAGGGGCGGTGCTGTAACATGGGGAGAGAGCGAAGGGGTCACCTTAGTGAAAGGCAAGAGGGAGAGGGCTGGGGGCAGGGAATTAAGTGTGTCTGAGCTGGAGCCTTGATGACATGAAAACTGGTGTCAGTTATGTGGGCCAGAATGGGGCGTCCACGGGCGCAGGGCTGGGCTGGGTGGTGACGTCACGGGTAGCAGGGGCGGGGCCTCAGAGGACTAGGGAGGCCGGGTCCGGAGGCTGAGGCAGAAAAGCAGCGCTGGGAGAGACTTGGGGCTGGAGTGAAATCAGCAACCAGGATGGAACATTGGTCACAGAGCGAGGACGGAGGGTGCAGGTAAAGGGACAGGGTTGGGGCGGGAAGGGGGAGTCCCAGACACGGGGCAGAAGGTGTTCTAGGAGGGGTCTCCAAAGGGAAGAGAGGTGGAAAATGTGGGCATGGGTAGGGAGGGGCTTTGGAAAGAAAGTGAAATACGGGGGGAATGGAATACAGGCAAAAAGTGAGGTGTGTGCGGAGTTGAACCTTAAAAATTATGCGGGTAGAATTCTGGCAGAATAATGGAGGGACTTCAAGTAAAATATGCAGGGACCCCTAGGAGAATATGGGGCCTGGGGTAGAAGCAGTAACCTCTCACCCCCATCCAGGGATAGGATGAAAATAGGGACCATAGGGGGAGGGGGTTGGGGGCGCACAGCACGCGGGGGCAGAGCCGGTGTGCAGGGAGGGGGCTCTGCAGAAGAAGGGGGAACTGAGATGCCGTGGTGGTCCAGGCGGGGAGGCGGGTCGAACTGGCGGGAGTGCGGGATTCGCTAGTCAGGTAACACTTGGTATAAGCCCCCAGATGGGGATGGGAGGAAAGGAAGGAGAGAGAGGAGAGAGAGAGAGAGAGAGAGATGAGAGTGTGTGTGTGTGTGTGTGTGTGTGTGTGTGTGTGTGTGAAGGGGAGAGTTGAATTCAGGCAGATAACTCCGAGGCCGGTTGCCTGAGACCGAGATGGCTGGGTTGGAGCTAAGTTCATCAGTGGAAGTGGCGATGGGCCACTGCTGTCGCGGGTGAAAGTGGTTTTTTGTTTTTTTGTTTTTTTTTGCAGTGGCATGGGGAAGAGGGCCAGGCCGGGTGGGCGGTAGAGATGGAGTGTGGTCGACCCCCTTTCTCCTCCGTTACCACGAGTGGGGGTGGTGATGCCACCGCTTCTCAGGTGTTGCAACGGGGGCCTCCAACTCCTTAGTAACCTCCCGCGCCTTGGCAACCGGGACGGCGCGGCCGCTGATTGGCTGATAGAGTGTGAGGGGCAGGAACTGGGGGTGGAGTCTAGAACACTGCGGCGGCGGGGTGGGGGTGGGGGCAGCACTTCCAGGCACTGCCTGTAGGATCCGGGAATGAGATGTTTTTTGCAGTGTGCAGCTGTCAGTTTGCAGCAAGACCTGGGGTTATTAAACCCTTTAACCCCAATAGAATGAAAGCATCATTACCAAAGTATGAGTTTTCCGGGGGAGGGTACTTACCACGTTTCATGAGCTCCTCCAAAAAGCAACACAGAAAGGCTCTCTCCAAATAAAAATAAGAGCTCAGCTCTAGAGGCAGAGAAGTGCCTGACAGTGTGTGGGGGGACCAGGCGGTTGCCCTCAGAGAGGGGGTCTGGAATTGACTGACGTAATTTTCCAAAGCTTGTGAGCCCGTTCATTTGTCTTCTGAGAAGAGTTCAAAAATTTCATTTAAATCTCAAAATCTAAAGGATTCTGAAAAGGTTCAGGTCGTAGAGCCTGAGGCTCATCTTGTCACACAATGCTTTTCCAGTGTTAGACTCTAGGAAAGGCTTCTTGAGGAAAGCGTAGGACTGGAGGTGAGGGACGGTGGAGGAGACCAGGCATGGGGGCGGGGCTGGCCCGGAGCGTGGCTCTGCTTGGAGCAGCAGTGGCACGAGACAGAGCTCCTCTTGCTATCCGTTTCCTCATCTCTGTGCTGGAAAAACTGCGTAAGGCACGCACTTGCCTTATTCTGTGGTCTCTTTCAGTGTCAAAAACAAAGTAATAATAGCAGTAATGAAGATTATGCCAAGATGGATTAGATGACTGCATTGTGTCAGGCATCAGCTCATTTCTTCTAGAATTTTATTGTGCTTCACTCACGCCGTCATATCATTCTAAGGATGTGAGCATTGTTGCCCTGCTGTAGACTTACAGAAGCCACATGAATGTCATCTGCCCCTGTGACATGGTGGATCTTATCACTTAGCCTCCTCTCCCCATTCACGATCTTCAGCCCTGTTGACCTCTTTGCTGATTTTAGAAAACAAAAAACAAAAACCCAGGGCAAGGGAAGTAGCTCAGTAGAATAAGCCCCTGCCTGGCAAGCACAGGGTCCTGAGTTCAATCCCCGGTTCAAAAAAAACCAACCAAACAAACAAACAAAAAACCCCAGGAAGATCCTACCTTGAGCCTTTGCCTAGCTCTTCCCAAAGACCGGGTTCTCTGCTTCTGATATTCAGCTCCCTCCCTTCTCTCTCCCACCTTGGCCAAGGGAGCAGCTCCTTCCCCCATATCTTCTTTTCAGTGTGACTTTGCATGTGTGTGCATGCGTGCATATGTGTGTGTGTGTGTGTGTGTGTGTGTGTGTAACTGGGGATTGAACACAGGGCCTCCACATTGTGCTATATCCCCAGCCCTTTTTTCATTTTTCATTTTGAGATAGGATTTCTCTGAGCTGCTAAGTTGCCCAGGCTGAGCTTAAATTTGCAATCTTCCTGCCTCAACCTCCCTCAACCACACCCAGTTTTGCACAGGTTTATACTTGTGACTACGCCTTTCCTGAGAGCAGGGGTGTGGTCTGGCTTCTCACTGCATCCCCAGTACCAGGATGGCTCCTGCCTTAGGGCTATGGAGTGGCTCACAGATCATTAGGTTAACTGTCCTAATCACGTGCAGAAGAACCTGGGTGGGCAACAGAGGCTCATCCTCTGTTCTAGCTCCGTGTAGAAGCAGTGTGGATAGTAGGAGCTCTGCTGCCTGAGAAGTCGTTCATGCATACGGCAGACTAATTCTTTTTAATTTTATTTATGTGTGTGTGTCCCGCTCAGCCCACCAGGGGGCCGGCTAGCTGGCATGTGGTGCTGGGGGATTGAACCGCGGTCCCTGTGCTTTGCTAAGCTTGTTCTAAGTAGGTGCTTTAGATCACTGAGCCATCTCACCAGCCCGGCAGACTAATTCATAAAATCAGTGATTAATTCAATGTATCAAGGTGCTGTTTAGCCCTGGCTGTTCTCTGGCTTTGAAGTACATGGCTTATGCTCTGACCTCCCTCAGCTCTCTGCGAGGGACGCCTCCGGGAGGCCTGCGGTGACTGCTTGACCCTGTGCTCCCTGTCCTTGCTAGCTTGATTTTTTCACTACAAATATCTGCTGGATGAACAAATGTATGAATGGCTGCTAATCAGCAGTGTGAATGATTCTCTTGGTGATCACGTATTTCCATTGGACAGCATGTGTTGGACGTAGTAATTAACGTGCAGGACATAATTCTTGGTGCCTTTATTTAGGTTGTCCAACTTAATCCTCAGAACAAGCCTGCCATTATCTTATCCGTTTTCTGGGATGAGGAAATGGGCACAGAGCAGTGAAACCATTTTCCCGAGGTGCCACAGCTGGTGAATGATGGGGCCCGGGTGTGAATCCTGGCCTTTCAGCTCTGGCCCTGGCCTCTCGGCTCCTCAGGTCTCTGTCTTACTCCTTTCTCCAGCGACCCTGGCCATGGACCAGCCAGCTGGCCTGCAGGTGGACTACATCTTCCGGGGTGTGGAGCATGCCGTGCGTGTGGTTGTTTCTGGGCAAGTGCTGGAGCTGGAGGTGGAGGACCGGATGACAGCTGACCAGTGGCGGGGCGAATTCGATGCCAGCTGTGAGTGCCTGAGCGCCTGCCCAGGGTGGGCTTCAGCTTCCCCCAGAAGATGAGGCCAGCCAGGTGTGGTGGTGCATGCCTGTAATCCCAGCACTTGGGAGGCTGAGGCAGGGAGATCTCCATGCATTCGAGGCCAACCTGGGTTACATAGTGACTTCAAGCCCAGCCTGAACTATATAGCAAGACCCTGGCTCAAGGTTAAAAAACAAACAAACAAACAAAAAAACCCCAGCAGGCCAACTAGAATCCTGCTGTCTGCCTCTATTGTTTGAGTAGAGCTCTCCTTGGGGGCAGGGTGGGGAAGAGGCCTTAGAGTTGGGGCTGGGCAAGCGGTCAGACCTCAGCAAGGACTTTTCTCCCCACCCAGTCATTGAAGATCTGACCCACAAGACGGGGAACTTCAAACAGTTCAACATCTTCTGCAACATGCTGGAGTCGGCCCTCACCCAGGTAGGGACAGCACTGGGGGTGGCGAGGTTTCTGGTCCCCTGATTCCAGCCATGGGGACTCGGATGTTTGTAGGCCCCTAGGCTTTCCCTTTCCTTGAAAGGATGGGGCTTTTTCTTCTTTCTCAAATGTAAACATCTTACTCAGCTTCTAGTAGTGGTTATTTTCATGTAGATGAGAAATATGAAGATGAAAGTAACCGTCACGCCACTCCCCATGTGCAGCTTGATAATATTTTGGTGACAATCACTGTAGCCATTTCTCTATTTCTCTGGATGTGTGAGTGCATGTGTATTTGCAGGTTTCTAATTATGTATAGTTGATATATTTCCTTGCTTCCTGGCTTCCTTCCTTCCGTCTGTCCTTCCGTCCTTTGAGACAGAGTTTGGCTACGTAGGTCAGCCTGGCCTTGCGCTCACTGTGCAATCCAGGTTGGCCTGGAACTTGTAGCGATCCTCCTGCCTCAGCCTCCTGAGTGACAGGATTGATATACTTGCCAAGATATTCTGTAACCTGCTTTGAAAAGATTCAATGATGTTTTATAAGAATTCACTTGCAGCAGTGAGTTGGGTATGTATAAAATGTTAATGGAAAAAGAAGCAGATTAGAATTTGGAGTGCCAGGAATGATATTTAGATAACTACTGTCATTTTGTTTTGTTTTGTTTTTAGTACTGAACTCAGGACCTTGCACTTGCTGGGTGATTAGGCTCTGAGCTCTCTCCCTGGCCCACTACTGCTTTTTAAAAAAATATATATATTTGGTTGTTACAGGGTCTCCTGCGACTGGGACTCATAGTGATCCTCCTGGTTTGTAGCCTCCCCAGTGCGGGATTACAGGCATGTACCACTACGCCTGAACTCTGTGGCCGGCTCAGCTAGCCCTAGAGGCAGGTGGCGCGGCATGTGGTACTGGGGACTGAACTGCAGTCTTTGAGCTTGCCTAAGCAGGTGCTTTAGTCCTCTGAGCTATCTCACTGGTTCCTACTGTGATTTTTAAACTATGAAGTATATTGTTTCTCTGGTCAGATAAAATATGTGCTTATAAAACTGAAGACATTAAACTAATATGTGGCTTGAAAAATGACAGTCTCAGGGGCCAGGGAGATAGCTCAGCAGAATAAGTGCCTTCCTGGCAAGCACAAGGTCCTGAGTTCAAAACCCAGTCCCCTACCACCACCAAAAAAAAAAAAAAAAAAAAAAAAAAAA